GTGCCAAATAAATTTGCAAAAATTGACATAACTGCAAACTGGCATAACTGCAAACTAGCAAAGGGCGAAATGTAAATTATCACTTTGGCCAATGTTTGCAAATTTATTAAACGCACTTATGTCACTTCTGCCAGTTTTTGTAACTGTTTTGTACTTAATCAACTTTTGCAAATATGCCTATTCGTAATGTTTGCGAACCTGTTTGGCGCACTTATGCCAATTTACACTTTTTCCAGTTTGCAAGTTTAAAGCTATAGGTTATCCTATGGCTTCAAACTTTTGTCCAGATAATTCTTTTAACCCAGACAATATTCATTTATATAACTACATTAATAGTTAGAGTACACTTATGATCTGGACTAGATTAATGGTTAGTGTGCTATTTTTTAAATAATAATAATTACTAGCAAAACTGTATCGTTAAATTAAAACCTAAATATTTAAGTAAATTTAGATTTTATGAAAAAAAACAAAAACATTTTTAAATACAGTAGTTATATATTATAGTTTCATTAATTATAAGATATAATATTATTAAATTATGGTATTTTTAGTTTTCTGACAAATTCACTGTATATATATATATATATATATATATATATATATATATATATATATATATATATATATATATATATATATATATATACTGTGTATATATATATATATATATATATATATATATATATATATATATATATATATATATATATATATATATATATATATATGTATATATATATATATATATATATATATATATATATATATATATATATATATATATATATATATATATATATATATATATATATATATATATATACATATATATATATATATATATATATATATATATGTATATATATATATATATGGAAAACAGTGCCTTTTGATTTTCAAAAATGATGGGCGTTTAGCCTACCCTAATATGTATATATATATATATATATATATATATATATATATATATATATATATATATATATATATATATATATATATATATATATATATATATATATATATATAAATATATATATATATATATATATATATATATATATATATATATATATATATATATATATATATATATATATATATATATATATATTAGGGTAGGCTAGATCACTCCGTGATCAATAAACACTAAAGTTTAAATCATTTGCAAAAAATTTAACCCTGCTCAACGGGCTCAAAGATCGAATTTTTACCTCAAAAAGTCATGTTATACAAGTTGAACGCCCTTAATTACAAAAAAAAAAAAAAAAAAAAAAAAAAAAAAAAGGGGGGAAGATAATATATATATGGTCAATTTAAACCATAATTTAGGAATTTAGAGTCTATTAGAAAGGCTTGGAGCGTTGCTTTGTATGTTTTTAACCTAAAAGTTTTGACCTGGTTTCTCTAAAAAACTCGGTTTCCACGTATTACTTAGCTATCGACAGTAGAAGAAATTTACTACTATAATAACTTTTCCGATTATCTTAAGTATAATTATGCACATATACGTATTTAGAAAGTTTATTTTTTTCACTTTTATTAATAAAAATTACAATTTTTATTTATATAAATTAAATTTTTTATAAATAAACCTGACATAAATATATGAAATAACAACTTTTGATATATATTTTGATATTTAATAATCACATAAACAATTTCATGTAACATTTGCATGTTAAAGAATTTCATACAAATTCTTTTTGGAATTGACTGAAATTTTTTGTCTGTGATTTGAAATTGAATTCATCAAAGATTGCTTTAACTCCTTATCCTGGCACATGTGTGTAAAGTCTAGAATGAGCTTTACTCCTCTCTCAGCACAATCATTAACTACTGTTAATTTTTCTACAAATGTGTTAAAAACTCGATATCTTGAGAAATAATTCCAATCTCTAAAGTAAAATAGTTATATTTAAATATTTTAAAAATGCCAAAAAACAGCATAAGAAATAATTTATGAGAAATATTTACTTGGAGCTAACTTGCATCCATTCTGTTTCTATTACAGATAAATTTAGCTGCTGAATGAGAATCCAACTGTGAGGTCCAACCAGTTGCTATAACTCTGGAATTTTTTTTATGTTAATATTTGGAAAAAATGGTTTTCCCAATGTTAAATTTGAAGGTCTAGGATATAAAAATAGCTTTTTGGCAATTTTTTCTTTAATGTTATTGTCAAGTGTTTCGTCGTAAAGAGCAAACACAACATTTTGTTCTGTAGGAAACCATATATGATTTTTAATACTTTTAATAGCAGCAGTTGTTAAAGTTTTGTTAAATGATCCATACTTGGTCATATCCCTGATTGCACATAAATCTAAACAAGGAGAAGAAACTGCCAATGGTGCTTTCAGAAACTATCTTACATGAAAAAGCCCGATAAACTCAGCAATTTTAGGGACTGTTGCTATTTCTTCTTCCCTAATTATATCAAGTTGTTGCAAATGAAATGTAAGCAGTTCTGTTGTCATGCAGTAGATGAAAGATGATGAAAAGCTATAGGTTTACGAAACTTAAAACTTCCAAGTTTATCACTGTCTAGCCAAACCAAAACAAGTTCGGCTAAATGCTTATAGTCACCACGAGGAAACTTTTCTGTAAACAAGGCGTATTCAAGATATATTTTGGTTTATAGAGCCTTTGAAAAAATATAATGCAAATAAGTTTATAATTTTTAGAAAAAAGAAATATGCAATTCTCCTTACTTGTTCTTCTAAAAATGTTCCCTTTCTCTTGCTCCATTCAAACCTGTTAAGATATTTCAAATTTATGCCAGGCTTAAAAGTTTCCCAGAAATTTTGAATTTTTTTGAAAAGATTATCAACTGGTCCATCAGACATATTCCCAGAAACTGCAAGTGCTGCATGCTAGAAAATGACAAATTAGATTAGGAATAGGCTAAATGAGTAAACCAAAAATAAAATTATTTAATAGTTCTATTTCTAACCCTAATATGAAGCTCGTATATGTGATGACTGCAGGCAAACCATAGTAACGGTCTGTTCTGCCATTTTTCTAGCAATACACAGGCACCCTGCATCCAGCCTTAATTTAATTCATTTATTCAATGTGAAACTTTTTTAATAAAAACTATGAAAATACAAAAATATCCTAATAAAAATGTCATAAAATGTCATAAAATGTCAAAACATACACTATGTACCGAATCCCAGACATTCCAAGATTCCAGTATTTCCTTAATTGCTTTTGCTTGTGTTATTACACAACTATCTGTGATAGAAAGAACTTTAATAAGTTGTTCTTTATCGATACTAGGACTTGAAATCACTAGTGCTAACCGCTCAACATTTATATTCACACCATAAAAATACTCTTTTACTATTTTTGTGTCAAAATGAACACAAAGTAGTTTTCCCTTAGCTTTTACAATAAAATCTTCTTTAATTTTTTAAGCCATATTCACTAATTACAGCACTACAATGAACATTTGCTGACGGAACAGAAGTATCAAAGTCCTTTAGATTTCCGCCTGCTGAGTTGATGACATTAGCTAATGTAGCGGTATGCGCTGAACTCTGAATACCGTATCTCTTTGCTGTAACAGCAGTGGCCTTTAAGATTTTTTTAGGTAGCATAAATTCAACAAAATCTGGTTTTCGTTTATGAGATCTTGGTTTGCAGTCCTACTGATATTTAAAATCTTATTCATCCTCTTTGTTCTGTGCTTCTACGCTGCTATTTCTAACCTGATTTAAAGTTAAATTGATTATAAATTCAAAAGCTAATCTGTTACTATTTGAAGTAGTCATTCTGTTATTGGTAAATTCAGTCCCCTTTTACTTTCTATGAGCAGCAAATAAGTACCTCTTTTCTATTCCACCCATGACAGCTTTACGATCTCCTCGTTGATCATTCAAAAAGTTTATATCGATATTTCTATCTTTTTAGTGACTTGTTTATTTAATAGAATTTTTTGCTGTGCATCATTCACACTAATATCAAATAAGCGTTTTATTTCAAGTTTGTAAGCGTCTATTTTCCTTAAATTGTGTGGTGTGTCACGTGATTTGTTGATTTGATCTTCCAAGCACAATATCTTACTTCTATATAAAGAAACAACAATTTATTCTTACAGTAAGATTCTTTAAATTTTGGTTTTAAAATTTTAGTTTTAAAAATAAATAAATACTGTATAAATATATACAATTATTATTTACCTAATATGTTGGTCAGCTACAATTGGGATTGCACTTCTTTTCCAGATATTCTTCAGTGACGAAACAACACATGAGCTTTTAAAAAAATTACACCCTCCAGGGTGCAACCAAATTCAAAACTCCCATGTGAAAACTCCCATGTCAAACCTCAGGGTCCAAAATTCTTGAGCACAGTCTTAGTCTTATTCAATTATCATAAAGTTAGGCTTAAAATGATTATATGAACATAAAAAATCAAATAAAAAAAAGTGCCTTTAAGATTTTTTTCTTGAAGGTTATCTTACTGGTCATTATATGAATTTTTGAGGTCAAAGTTTGATATTTGAGCCCATTGAGCAGGGTCCAAAATTTATGCGAATGAGTAAAACTTTGGTTTTTATAGTTAAAATTGTAAATCTTAATAACTCTTTAATAGTTGGTTTATTAAATTGGTGTAGTATAAATGATAGAAAGTTTAAAATACTAAATAGTGGTGTAAATAACTACATATTGCCAAAAATGGACTTGGTGTATTTCCCTTGTATACCGATCTCGTAAAACTACCGCAAAGCAGGATCGGCTTTAGGTTCGGGCGAGTTAGTCTATCTACGGCTTCAGATCTTGCAAGCTACATGGGGAAAAAACATGAAGTTTATCTGGCAGCAAGAATAGTCAGAAAACGCCTGCAGCAAGCTGGTTTGAATGGGAGAATCGCTGCGAAGAAGGCTTTATTGCAACCTTATAACATTGCGAAAAAAAGAGTATTCGCGAAGATGCACAAAACCTGGACTGTCGTACAATGATAGGTAATCGGTAAAATGCGAACTGCGAACC